TTTTATCTAAAATTAAGTGAATTTTTTCGCAAATTGTGTGATTTTTCGAAAATTTGTGTTATGTTCCGAAAAATATAGGTTGTCCGGAAAATTTTTTTGACCCCTAAAATGGTACACAGACCGAAATTTTTTTGGCGACGGGGGGGGGGGAAGTCGCCAAAATAATTTTTCCGGAAAAAATTTTTTGGTACTTTTTGGCAGGGCATCACTGGTTTTGGCAGGGCAATTCTGCCAGACACCCCCCTAATTAAAAGGGGCTAGTTTCGCCCCTGGACAAGATGAATCCAGACTATTTCACATCAGTGACCATGATTTAGTTGCAACATTTACAACCAAATGGATACCAGGTTATTAAGCAAATTCCTTCAAGTTTAATTGCAACCCCTCTGTCATTTTCTTGAAAAAATTTAATAGCCGCCCCTCTTCTAGTCATTTATTTCTGCATATGCCCCCCCCCTTATTTTTTCCCTCCCCCCCTTCCATAAATGATGACCGGTCTCTTATTGTTAAAATCGAGGATGTCGTTGAAATTAAACTGTTTAAACCTGTAAGATCTTCGCCCCAGTTCGGGAACATTTTATATTATGTTGTGTTTTACCAAATAATGTCCTTGCCCTTGCACGGTTCCCATTTCTAAAAAACTGCTGTAAATCATATCCCCCTTTAATTTGATCTCATCCGTGAGTCGGCCTCGAAGGCCTTTGATTTAAACTTGTAAGCTGCTTGCAGAATGTTATCGAGCCACAGCCGTAGTTCATACTTTTCCGTACGAATCAATGACATTTGACGTTCTCTTGTGATTTTTGACCTGTTGTTTTCTTTCATATTAATTTCAAATTCGAAAAATTATACTTTCATTCCATAGTTGTCTTGATTTTCCACGGAATAACCTTTATATTGACGTTAAAATCGTAGTAAAATACTGTTTTTCGCTTCTGGATAAACACTGTCGCTACGTTGTCATTTTTTTCAACACAAAAACGGGAGAAAAACCGGTCGCTTTTATAATATACCCGTTTATCGCTTTCGTTGTGGGCACACAGTCTTGAAATACACACAAAAATCGTTATAAATCGCAAAAAGCAACAAGAAACAAGCCGTTAAAGTCAACATAATAGCATCTGAATTTGGCTTGTCGAGCAGTTTTCGCTTGTTTTCCCGCGTTTTGTTCCCGTATCCTAGGATACGAGGCCTCGTCACGATTTATGAATAAAGTCTATTGAAAGTAAGATCTTAACTGATCTTTACAACGACGATCACGAAGTTTTATGGTGCATATTGTGACCAAAACGCCTGCCTCGAGGATTCTCACATATCATAGCTGCAGTTGTCTATCATCCTCCTGATGCCAATAATATCTCAATGAAAGAATATCTTAAAAACTCATTAGAATTTATCGAATCAAATTACCCGAACAGCGCTATAATCCTAGGTGGTGATTAACAAACTCTGTTTTAAATCCCCAGCAAAGCTCTTCCATCTAAAATCTATTATAAACTTTCCTACAAGAGGCAATGACATCCTTGACCAGATTTTTATGAATTTACAAGATTTTTACATGGCTCCAAATAGAAGATGTCCATTTGGATTATCCGACCATCTCACAATCACTATTTTCCCTGCTATACGACAAAAGTCAGTGTCCGAAAAGAAAATAATAAAAGTGCGCGATAAAAGAAGAAGTAATATCTCTAGTCTTGGCCGGTTTTTCCAGAACGTTCCATTTGAAGATATTTTATCATCAGTTCAATCTCCCTGTGAAAAACTCGCAATTTTTACCGACATATTAAACTACGGACTGAACACTATTATGCCAGAAAGATCTATCAAAGTGCACGCTACTGACCGTCCGTGGATGACAAATAATTTGAAACGACTTATCAATAAAAGACAGAAGGCATTTGCAACGGGTAACAAACCTTTGTTTTCACTCCTACGTAATAAAGTCAATCGTAACTGTACGGTTCCACAGGCATGGAAGATGGCTGACGTATCACCAATTCCTAAAACATCGAGTATAACTGACTTCAACAAAGACCTGAGAGCAATATCATTGATGTCTACACTATCGAAAATCGCGGGAGGGTTTGTAATCGACCACGAACTGAAACCTAAGATTTTACAGAAAATAGATCCCCATCAATTTGGCTTTATTCCTAAATCATGTACAACTCATGCAATTATCTCAATGCTACATAGCTGGTTGGCCGCAACAGAGGGAACAGGTTCTACGGTGAAAGTTGCCTTATTAGATTTTAGGAAAGCTTTTGACTTGGTGGACCATAACCTTCTTATAACAAAACTTATTAACTACGAAATTAAACCATCAGCCGTCACCAATTGGATTACTGACTTCTTACGTAAGCGTACCCAAAGAATCAAATTGAATTATAAGTGCCATTCCAATGTACTGCAAGTCCAGGCAGGGGTACCTCAAGGGACCAAATTAGCACCATGGTTGTTCCTCATTATGATAAACGATTTGAGCGTTTCAGAGAATTCAACAAACAAGATGTGGAAATTCGCAGATGACTCCACAATTTCGGAGGTCATCCCTAGAACTGAAAATAGCAATTTACAAGATATAGTTGATTAAGTGGCTAATTGGTCAAATAATAACAAATTTCAATTAAATTCTGCAAAATGCAAAGAACTTAGAATAAATTTTACTTAAGTCCCTAGCAGAGACGATCCAGTCAAAGTAAATGATAAACACTTCGAAGTGGTAACATCCGCAAAAATCTTAGGAATGACTATTACCGATGATTTAAAATGGAATGTCCATGTGGCAAATATTTTATTAAAAGCTTCCAAACGACTTTATCTCCTGAAACAGTTAAAACGTGCGAATGTCGATACTAATTCATTGAACAAATTCTACTGCGCCTGTATCAGATCTGTCCTCGAATACGCTTGTCAGGCCTTTCACTCAGGCCTTCCTAATTATCTTTCAAAAGAAATTGAACAAATTCAGAAAAGAGCCCTAAGAATTATTTACCCTTACGTGGATTATAGAGAAGCGTTGGAAATGGGAAACCTAGAAAGACTAAACGACCGTAGAGAGAAACTATGTGAAAAATTGTTTCGTGAAATTGCAGTGAAAATGAAGATCACAAACTTCACGGACTTTTACCAGAAATGAATAAGGCTGTTTCTACCTTCAGAACAATTAGGAAATATAATCTCCCAACGATTAGGACAAATAGATTTAAGGATTCTTTTATCCTTGAGTACGCATCACGAAAGGAAATAAAAACGAACTTATTTTAAATATTTGCATGTATATATATATAACAATTTTTTTAAACATTAGTACTATGCATTTATAAATTTTATACCAACCAATTGTAATTCAGTCGTAGGGCTGCAATAATTGAGTTAATAAACGATTCATCTATCTATCTATCTATATCCACACCGGGCAAGCTTGAAAAATATGCCTGACCACGGTGGGAATCGAACCTACGACCTTTGGAATATAGCCCAATGCTCTGCCAACTGAGCTACGCGGTCTGGTCGGTTCGAGTATGTGATATTTCGGAACAGAATCTAGTTCCTTCGATATTAATGTAATCCGCTAATAATTATGATTTTTTCTGTGTTGTGTAATGTACTCAGGAGTGAATATAATGCTTGTCACAAACCTGGCGCCAAAAATTTAATAAGCTATAGGCCTAGGTGATTTCATGTATCCATTTAGAAGAGCAGATTAAGGATATATTAAAACTGAAATCGGTTTCGAAACACACCATCAAGGACGTAGCGAAGCATCTGAATTTTTTTTTTTGGGGGGGGGGATGTCGGAGCATTTTACCTGAAATTTGAATTTCAATGTTAAAAATTTACCTGAAGTGTAATAGTTATAATAAAGCTTTTTGTGATTGATTGGCACTCTCATACTACGTTTCGGGAGAAAAGGGAGTCTGGGTGTCCTCCCCCAGAAAATTTTTACATTTTTGAAGCTCTAGGACTGAATTTCTGGCGTTTTCTAAAGCAAATTCGCAAACAAATTGCATGTAAATTGACAGTATTTCACAAAAATAATTACTTTATTACGCAAATTTTACCTGAAAATGTCATAATGTGCCTGAATTTCACAGTTGGGGGAGTTTTACATCCCATCCCACACCCGTCCCCCCGGTCGCTACGCCATGACAACCATTCCTTGCGAAGATATGACTTAAATTTCTAAGAATCTGCCGTTTTGTTCTATTTTTAGTAACAATATGCCGGATTTTTCGACATTTGTATCGTTATATCTTCCCATAAAATGGTTGTATTTAGAAACAGATTTCAGTTTTAATTAATTAAAGTACCCTTAGTCTGCTCTACTAAATGGTTCAGTAAAATCACCAATAGCTTATTTTAAATTTTTTTGCGCCAAGTTTGTGACATAATTTACCCGCCAAAAAGTAGCAATTCCGAAAACAAGAAACATACGATTTGTAAGAACGATATGTTCTATATTCATGGAAAATTTGGTAGAAACCGAATGAAAATTTCAGAAGTTGAAGCATATTGGTGCTTTTACATGCATTTTTGACAAGTGTGTTGCAGCCTTCTTTTACGTATTCCATGTGGAGCTCCCCCATGCCAGTTAGTATAGAATAGATGGTTTGGACATCATTAGAATAGCAATATAACTCATTATCTATGTTAGTCAACGTTTATTCATAATTATGTTCCTTCACTGTCACGTGTGTATTATATTTTTGCCATGTCCACCAATAGCAATTTTCAATTTACCCTATTGTTTCAGTCATCGATAGGTAACTTTCCTAAAACATTGCTATTGGTTAGTCGGGCAAAAATACAATACGCACGTGACGGTAAAAGACCAGATTTATGACTGTTATTGTTCACTAACATAGGTAATGACTATTGTTATTGTAATGAGTTTCCAAACCATCTATATATATATTCTATTAACTATGGTGGGAGTGAACACTCCAGGCCCCTGCTGGACCAAAACTTTGAAAAGTTTATAGCCCCCCTTCATATATCGAGAACTTTCAGAGCCCGAAAATATTTCGGTGCCCCCCCCTCCCACCTCGGCAAAATAAATGTACTTTCCCTTATAAAAAAGACATCTCCAAAAACATGGAGAACAGTAGAACAATCCCCAACAACACGGAGAACAGTTCAAATATTAAAATCCCCAAAAACATGGAGAACATGTACAGAATAAAACAATCCCCAACAACATGGAGAACAGTTAATGGAATGAACATGTAATAAAATATTGATAAATGACAACTGCGATTAATATACATCAT